TAAATGGAAGGGTGACAAAACGAAAACAGGAGTGGAACACATCAGTAGAATGGCAGAGGATAGAATAGTACGAATAGCATGAGATAAGTCACCAAATGGACGAAGAAGTATTGGCAGACCAAGAAAAAGATGGTAGGATAATTCAAACAATTTAGAAGGCTAATATTAAAAAAGAAACAGGCTTTAGAGCCTACATACTAGAAGGAAGAAGAAGAAGATCAATGTGTTCTACATCAGAAACTTTCTAATCTAATCTCGGCGGCAAATAAACGACATTAAGTGAGTCAGCATTTTCACAATCTGAGTCTTCTTCTAACAAAGCTATTAACTCTTTAGTAGTTAGTGCCATCTTCATTTCATATTTCGAGAATTTACTGAAATAAACAAATGCACTACTATATAAACATTCACTAGCTTCTTCTTCTTTAAGTTCCATCTTCTATCGAAGGTTGGAAATCATCATGGCTATGCTTACTTCATTTTAATTTATATGAACTTCATAATACATTTTCATATTTATATAAACAAATAAACACAAGGAAACTTTCTAAAAAAAAACAAATATAACGTTTACAGCACACAAGAATTCTATAAATAGAGAATGATGTATAATGGTGTGTTATTAAAATTGCAGATTATTTTTAGTCCAATGAAAAAAAACTATTTACTTTGTTAGACAACTATAAGATACCTGTTAAGAGCGTAGGCGCAAAATTTCGGGCCAATGCTTTTTAAATGCATTCATTTTTTTCGAATCCTGACAAAACTAACAAATATTTTTAAAAAATTTAAACGCAGAGTGAAAGATTACATTATTACCGAGGGAAAAAAGTCCCTTAGAATAAACAAAACGTTTTTTTAAATAAAATATTTAAAATTAAAAATCACACTAAATTTTCTCTTTTTTTTTCACCCCTGTAACTTATTAAAATAAACATTATAGAAGTTTTCATGGACTTTCGGCCCTCGGTAATAATGTATTCTTTCATTCTGCGTTTAAATTTTTCAAAAATATTTATTAGTTTTCTCAGGATTCGAAAAAAATGAATGCATTTAAAAAGCATTGGCCCGAAATTTTGGCCTACGCTCTTAAAAGAGACATGATAATTTAATAATTAAATCGGTCTTAGATTTAATTTTTACGTAATTACTTATGTGTTTAAATAAATAATTATTTTTTTTTTTTTGGTACGCCTCTGTAAAATTGATAATTTGAATACGATTTCGTTGAAAAGTTATCGTTAAGTACGATGTTGCCAAGTAATCACCTTCAATTAAAAATTGTTTTAATATAAGCACTTTACCGAATTTTACAATATCTGGATCGGTGTATAACTGATATAATTCAAGGTTGTATCTTCGACGCCATAGCATATGACAGTGTACCGATCTCTCAACTATGGATAGAAATGTGTAACTTGAAAATAAATCCAATTCTTATTAACGCCACTCAAAAATACTACGAACAAAACTTTGCAAGAATTAAAATGGAACAAGAAATCCCCTCCCCTTTTCAAATAACAAAGGGACTAAGACAAGGCTGCTATCTGTCACTCACCTTATTTAAAATCTATTTGGACAGTAAAAAAATGTAGAAACATGGGAATAACGGTTGAAGAAAACACGCATCTTTGCAGATGACCAGGTAGTAATTGCCGAAGACAGCGACGATCTTAGCTATATATCATATATACAGAATATAACCTATATAATGAATTATTAAAACAAAAAAATGAAAATTTCTGACATTCCTACTTTTTCCTCTGTACCCTTAATATGTTAAGCTCCTTCGCCAAACTATAGAATATATTTTTGCATTTTAAAAATTGGTGAATGCACTCATGTCAAATTAAGTTTTAAGAAAGTGATCAATAAACATATTTTACAATTGAGTCCATGGTTCTTTTTCTGCACATTTGGAGCAGACCGAGTAATTAAAAATGGAATTTTCTAAAATACACCACGCCATATTTTCACGTTTACTTGTAAACATTATACTTATAATTTTTACAAACTTACGATATGTATACAACACAACAACCCTTGAGTATAATTAATATTCATTAATAGCTATCGCCATTTAAACCTGTCAAAGTAATCGGCAACCCAATTATTTTTCAACATGCTCTTTAGGTCGTTAAATTAAAGCTACCATTTAATACAACATACACACGCATTGCAGCTGTGTTGTACATAAATAATTGGGTAGATCCGTATCGTTCTTGACGTTATTTATTTCGCATTCGATACCAACTGGCTGGTCTAAAAGAAACACCAGATAATCGGAAAGCAGGTGCCTAACTACCTGAGATCCCATTTGTTCATCTGATAGGTGCCTTATGGCGCGAGGACGACGTAAAAATATATTTGCTCGCATAAAAATGACAAATGTTTCCATAATTCGTATTTTCCAAAGATGGTTCTTATTTTTCTTATAAAATATCTCAAAACAATGTGAAGTTTTTTTTATTTACAAAAAACAATCTTTAACCTGGTAAGGTTATTAGCAGAACGGTAACAGTAAATTACACTTTTATTGACGTATTTAGAATAATGTGACAGTTGATACAATTAGTCTATATACATTAGTTTACAATAATAATAATGTATGTATTACAATGTCTGTTTTAGATCTTTTGAAGTAGTTGACAGTCTTTAAGATAGAAAAATATTGTTTGGGTATCTGTATTTTCTTCTGGGGCATCTCTTAGAGAGTTGGGTATGCTATATTTGAGGCGTTCACTGTTATATTTGGGACACTGTATTAAACAATGTTTTACCGTTAGAACACTGTTGCACACTTCACACACTGGTTTATTTTTGCGCTGTAATAAATAGTCATGAGTAAGTCGTGTATGGCCGATACGGAGACGGGTAAGTATCACTTCCTCTCTTCTGTCTTTTATTTTTGGTTTCCAAAGATGTGGATGTTTGTTGACTTTGTATAGTCTTGATAGAGTGTTGTTCCAAGTTTGTTGAGAATTTTTGTTTTAAATATGGTTTTAAATCGTCTTGTACCAATATGTTACTTTCTTCGGACATCGGGATAGTCGTGCGTTTTTAGACAGTTTATCTACAACTTCGTTACCTTCAATTCCGACATGAGAAGGTACCCATAAAAAGTGAACTTGGATGTTCTTATTTGAAATGTTTTTAAGTTATTTTTTAATGAGAAGTAGAAAGGAGTTGTCACAGTACAATTGAGTCAGTGAGGATAATGAAGTTAGAGAATATGTGATTATTATACATTTTTCTTTGTTTTTGTTTTGTATTAATATGTTGTATTATTTTAGAATTGCAAATAATTCAGCAGAAAAGATGATTGTAATTGACATATCTGTTTAATAGTGTATGAAACTTTTGTTTAATGACGATTGATGATATCTCTAATTTTCTTAGGTTTGTTAGACTGATGTCGATAGCAGAAATAGATATTGTCCGTGGTGCAGGGTTGTGGATTGAAAAGCATCATAGATTTTTGGAAATTGAAACTTTAGTTTGGCCAAGTATAATTGTATACGAAAGTAAAAAGGATGATCAATTTGATTTGATCGATCAGCAAAAAGTTATGCAGTACTGGTTTATTTCGGTTTGATGACACTGCTGCTGCATATATTAAGCTTAGATATCAGGCCACCAGAACCAGAGTGGCCCAAGTGACATTTTTTCATATTTAGACTTTATCACAAAAAACGATGTGAAATAATAATATTTTCAAAGCCACAGTGGCCCAAGATTAGTTTTCTCCGAGAATAAGCAGATGGCGACACTAGTATTGTTTTGGCATTGTAATTTTATACTCCATTTTAAAAATCATAGTGACTCAGGTGACTTGGGTCACTCTGGCATTAGCAAAGCTTAACTGTCATATTGATTATTATTGAGAGGTTATTTGCGTGTTTCTCATTTTATAACAGTGTTTTAATTAGAAAATGAATAAAAACATGAATGAAAGTGAGGGTGAAGGCGCGGAAGGCACTGCATGTAACGTAAAAGGTGAGTTTCTCTGTTATTTAACCAACAATCCAACTGTTATAACCTTTGTCAAGTTAACATAACCTACAAAAACATTAATTGTACTGTTTTAATTTTATCAAAGCTTACATCTTACATAAATAGTAATTATTGTTGTGTTTGTTTGCTGCAGATGTTCTTGGAGCTGCAGCAACTGCACATGATGGAGGGAGTGGGGCTGAAACTACTGATAACATCGAAAATGAATTACGAGATATACTTGGATCAATCCCAGAGGAGCCCTATCAGGATTCAGATTCCGAGTATGTTCCAGATCATCGCAGCAGGAGCTCTTCGCCAAATTTGCAACATATTCTTGAAGATTTGTCTAATGAAGAAGACCAGTCGTCAGTTTCTACACATACGACAAGGAAACGCATTATCAAGAAATATACGTGGAAAAAAAATGTGAGAAAAAACAAACGAGCTAAAGGTGAGGAATACACTAACACTAAAGGCGTTCTCGTTCTCGCTAAAACGATAAATACACAATATCGATGTCCCTGTAAAGAAAAATGCCACGAGAAGATCGAACCTGAAAGACAAAGAATACTATTTTCCAAATTTTATGGATTATCAAATTTCAATTTGCAAAGCTCATACCTGTGTTCACTCGTAAATGTCGTAATTAAAGCAAGATCATGTAAACAAAATGCAAACGATGTCACAACAAAGCCGAGAGAATTTTCCAGACTGTATCATTTACCAGATATGAACGGAAGACAAATTCGTGTTTGCAAGTCATTTTTCAAACATGTCCTTCAAGTATCAGATGGACGTCTCACAAGGGTTTTGAAAAATAAATCAGTTGGTGATACACTCCCTATTGACAAGCGAGGTAAACATGTCCCAAAAACAAAACCCCTGAGCTGAAAGAAAATGAAGTAAAGGAGTTCATTAATACTTTTCCAAAATACGATTCACACTACACCAGACACAAAAGTGAGACAAGACAGTATTTGCCACCTGACTTGAATTTGACAATAATGTATTCCGAATATAAAAAGAAAGTCAGCGAACCTGTTTCTAAATACATCTTTGAAAAAATATTTAACGAGAAGTTCAACTTATCATTCCATGCTCCTATAACAGATTCATGTAAGAAATGCAATAATTTTAAAGTAAAAATAGAGGCTTGTGAAAATCATGAACATTCCAAGAAGGCTGAACTTACCACTGCCAAGGAGATTCATTTAAGAAAAGCGGAAAGTGCCATGAATAATATGAAAATTGATATACAGTATGCAAAAGAAAACAATGACACCATAGTAATTATATTTGATCTAATGAAGACTCTTCCAACTCCGGTAATTTCAACTGGAATATGCTATTATAAACGGCAGTTATGGACTTACTGTTAAGGTATTCACAATGCTGCTATCGTAGACATTTTTATGTACGTTTGGGACGAATCGACTGCATCCAGAGGGCCACAGGAAATAGGTTCATGTTTACTAAAATTTATTAGAGATAGTGTACGTAAAAAGAAACTAATAATGTACTCAGACCAATGTGGTGGTCAGAACCGCAATATAAAAATTGCGGTGTTGTGTATGTCTTCTTCTTCTTCTTCTTCTTCGTCTAGCCATTCACGTCCACATCTGAACATAAGCCTCTTCAAGTCTTCCTTTCCATTGTTTTTTATTGTACGCTACTTGTAGCCAATTTTTCCCGGCAGTCCTTTTCAGATCATCTGTCCATCTCATAGGAGGTCTGCCTTTGGGTCTTTTGTGTTGGTATGGTCTCCAGGTTAAAATTGATCTGTGCCATTTGTTTAGATCGCTCCTAGCTACATGTCCAGCGTATTCCCATTTCAGCTTTAATGCTTTTTGCACCACATCGGTGACTTTGGTTTTCTGTCTTATCCGTTTGTTTTCTTGTCCTTAAGTGATATACCTAGCATTGCTCTTTCCATCGCGTGTTGAGTGACTCTAAGTTGTGCATGTACATTGTATCAAATCCAGCTTATACTGTGGAACAGATTGATCACAAATTTTCAGTGAGCGGCCATTCCTATTCATCTTGTGACCGAGCTTTCGGCTTGATAGAAAATCAGAGGAGGTATTTCTCAAACATATACATTCCGGAGCATTGGAACACCGTGATAACAGTAGCGAGAAAAAAGAATCCATTCAAGGTAGTACAGATGAAACGAGACGATTTCATATCGACGAAAGCCTTAGAAAGTAACATTACGAACAGAAAGATAAGCGTTGATAGGTCTTAAGTAGAGTGGCTAAAAATGCAGTGGATGCTGTATAGTAGGATGCATCTATTCTCCATATATTTTAAATATTCGAATAATCCAGAAGTCCTTTTTACCGAAGTTAACTTCAGTAAAAGGAATTCTCAAGATGCTGCTAACCTAGAGCTCGAAACGCTCTATCCGGATGGAAGAAAAATCAACCCTGAAAAAAAGAAAGACCTTCTGTGTTTACTAGAATATGTTCCGCCCATCTATCATCAATTCTACCACCAACTAGCAGACTCTAACACTGCAAGAAATGAATTAGACGAAGCAATGAGCGATTTTTCAGTGGAGTAGTGTGTAATGAAAACATTTAAAAACAATAAAAGTGAAAGTTTGATTACAACTTAAGTGAAAAAAACTAGCACTAAGTTTTAATTTGTAATTTTTCAGTTTAATAAAAGTCATTATTTCTGGTATATTACATTAATTTATTTCTATGGGATGGGTTGTTTTCATACCCGATGGCCTATTATTCTTACTTTTATTGACATGCTTGTCTCAAACAGCCAATGCCAAAGTGGCCCAACTGTTAAAAAAATTACAAATACTTACAAAATTAGCATCAGGCTATAGCCCATTAGAATCCTAGTAATTTTTAAAGTATTATGCTGCGAACTAAGCGATGTGTTTAATATTTACTTAATGTTCTACATTAACTCGAAAATTTCACTAAACTATTTTGGCCCATATCTCTAGTTTTGATTTCTATCACTTGGGCCACTCTGGTTCTGGTGACCTCAATATTGTCTTCTGAAAGAAAGAGGAAGTTCTCCACTTCTGAATAAGAATTTGAATGAAGCTTATTAGTTGGGGCTTAATGGGGCGTATAGTGAGCACCTAAAGAAATACGTAGACATCTATTTTGGATAATATCCAGTGACTTTAAATGTGTTTTTTTTGGGAAGTTTAGATCGAATTACGGATTTGTAAATAAATATTAAACTTGAATAATCGGTACCCCAGTTTTTAAAGGCAAGTGATCGTAGTAAATTAATACTAGGTAGACAGGATTTTTTCAGCTGTTGAATATGTGTCTTCCAAGTTAATGTTTTATCAAACGTCATATCCAAGAATCGGATTTCTTCTACATAATCTAGTTTTTGTTCGTGTAGATATAATTCTTTTGTTGATATATGGGTATTATACCTTATTTTTAATCAAGTACAGAGTTTTAATTAATATTATCTTATACTGTAAGTGACTAACTGACTAACTAATACTCGAAGCCAATATAAAATAAATACAATTTTTATATTCACTGCTGCTCTTTTGATAAATACGGTATTTCGTTTCGAGCAGCTGAAAATGTAACTATGTACATTTTGTCGAAACATATAAATCGTCCGAACACGTATAAATAAGGCAAAATAAACAAAAAGATCTTGCACGTGAAAGAACTATCGAAGAACTTTGAAATGCACATAAATGCCAGAATTCTTTCTGACAGACGAACACAGAGCCATCGTTACTTGTTTCAATTCTTCTCTTTTTTAGCTATATCCCATTTTACAAATTTATCCAATTGGCTACAGGGACGGCTTCTGAAATTGGACATAAAACGGAACATTACTGGTCTGGGCCAGAGTTAAAGAAAATCTTTGTATGTTAAATTAGGGAACACATTTAGATATATTTGGAGTCGCCATTAGGAAATCCTCTGATCTGCCTTGATAGGATCTTGTGGGACACTATTCTGTAATTGACAGATGTTCCTTGAAAGATAGGGTTCTTTCAGTCACACCAAGGTACTTTGGTATTTTATTGTAGGCCAGTGTGGTGTTTTCGAATTGGACGTTCAGTGTTCTTCCTGCAAGCTTGTTATTTAGATGAAAACTGGAAACCTCTGTTTTGGTAGCGTTTGGTTGGAGCCTCCATTTACGGAAATACTTTCCCACTGTGTGTAAGTCTACCGTAAGGATTTCTTCTGTTTGTTCAATTGACTTACACCTTGTTGCAAGGACCCAGTCATCGGCGTAACCAAACTTCCTTGATCTGGTTTCTGGTATATCAGCGATGTACAGGCTAAAGAGAAGAGGAGCTAGGACAGATCCCTGAGGCAGTCCATTCTTCAGTTTTCTTGGGGTGCTGATGTCGGTTCCCATGACTACTTGAATCGTTCGGTCGGCTAGCATGCTGTTGATTATTCGAGCGGTGGATTTACAGGAGATTGTACGGAGGAGCTTGTATATCATGCCTTCTCTCCAGACTGTATCGTAGGCCGCTGTTAGGTCTATGAATGCGGCTGCAGTTTTAAGTTTTCTCTGGAACCCTGCCTCAATAAATGTGGTAAGTGAAAGAACCTGATCTGCGCAGCTTTTTTTCGGTCGGAAACCTGCCTGATCAACCGGTATCGATTCAAGTAGCTTTGGACTAATTCTGTTATAGATAAGTCGTTCTAGTAGCTTGAACGTTGCCGATAGTAGGGCTATTGGTCTGTAGTTCTTAGGGTTGCTATCATTTGGTTTCCCTGGTTTTAATATGGCAATGATCTTCGAGTTCCTGTGGTATGGTACCGGTCTTCATAATATCTGTGAAAAAGTGGGTCATCTATTCCCTCGCATATTTGCCGCTGTTAATTAAGAATTCGGGATGAATATTGTCAAAACCTGGGGCTTTACCTGGCTTTACATCCTTGAGAGCTATAGTGACTTCTTCGCAAGTGAAAGGGCGAGAGTATTCGGTTTCTGCAGATTGGAATTTTAAAGTTTTGAGCTCTTTTGAGGTTTTACCTTGATTGTGTGTGGCTTGTCTTTCGGGGGCCTAGATGTCGATACCAGATATGAGGCAATAGTGTTTGGGTTAATTGTTGTTTTGTTCCTTATTATGGGAGTTCCGCTTCCTAATTTTCTTAGTAGTGTCCATGTTTGCCTACTTGATGTATTAAAATTAAGTCTTTCTACAGTTTCCGTTCATTTTTATTGTCTTGCTGCATGTAGGCTATGCAGCAGTTTATCGGCTAATTCTTGATCGCCGATTTCAAGGAAATTTTGGTACAGTTGTTCGCTCTTATGGGACCAATCAGGAATATGATTTTTAAACTGTGATTATTACGGCTCCAACGAATCTTTTGTAATTTCTGATGGTAGGGGGTATCCAGCCTAGAGTATTGTCCAGTTTCGCAGAAAAGCTACCCCAAATGGCTTTCTTTAGATTCCAACGTGGGCAAAGGATGGATGTGATTATAGGAATCTGGGTTCCCGCCTCTAAGATCACTGAGCGGTGTTGGCTGTGTGGGAAGTCGTCCATTATTCGACAAAATATAGGTCAGGATTGTACTCCTTCTTTCATGCTGATGTCATTAATTAGAGAAGAGTATATTACTAGGGTAATTTGCAAATAGAACCAATTCGTGAAATGATAGTATTGCTACCATAGAGGTAGCAATAAGAAAAGCATGCCATAAAAAAGACATAAATGGATGGCTGACAAAACGAAAACAGGAGTGGAACGAACACATCAGTAGAATGGCCGGGGATAGAATAGTACGAATAGCACTAGATAAGCCACCAAATGGACGAAGAAGTATTGGTGATGCGACAATTTAAATAATTTAAGAAGATTTAAATAAGAAGAAGAAGGAAACCAAACAAAGATGGGGTAATTTTCACTCTATAGCACCGTTCGGTGGTTCAAGAGAGCAGAGCAAAAAATGAGGTGTCGGTAGACATCTCATTTTTTTGCTCTGATACAAAGATCTATATGTATTGTCATACTTCTTCTTTCTCAACCAAAGAAAATAAAAAAAAGATCCATCGGAATAAAATTTTAAGATATCAGTATAAACAAATTGTATATAGTAATTTAAGATAAGATTTAGTGTAGATAAGAATAGAAATTTGTTTGGCAAACGACCTTTTCCGTTTCCAACAAAATTATCAAAAAACCCCTTTGTTTAGAATTAGAAGACATTTTACCTGTAAGTTAATCTTTTCATTGTTTGTATAATCGAGTATTAAATGACCATATTCTAATCTTTTGAAATATGTATAAATTGTGTATTGACAAAACCAATTTTAAAGTAAGCTATTTAGTTTTTCTCTGAAACAGAAATTAGGCTTTTCCAAAATCATGGTAAACACAATTTGAGCTTTTGATTGGACGGTCGTTTTT